AAAAACATAGATAAATATAATTACAAAATTGGAAGGATTGATGTTTATTATTATTATTGATGTTGTTGTTGTTATTATTATTGCTGAATTTAGAATTAAGTCGAAATTTCGAGATAAATCGTGAAATATTATTTTGAGATTAAATCTCAAATAGTATAGGAAAAAAATCTAAATTATTTTAGTTTATTTTCAAAATAGTAATATAATATTCCTTTTTTCTCATACTCCTCGGAAATCTCTTCATCTCTAGAGTATTTGTGTTTTTATGTGTTGCAGCATGCCTTTCATGGGGTCCGGAGTTTATTCAAATGAATCATATCTACAGAGGAAATATTTTTAGCTTTGATCGAACTAGCCATACTGGATGCGGATCCCACCGTCGTCTCCTGCAGAGGCGTGCCGATTTAACAGCTCGTCTTTCAGATCCGTGAGGGGGCGTGGCTGTTTCCGTCACTTAGCTTCGTTCTGGGTTCCTTCGTTACGTGAGGCCGACTTGGAGGGAAGTGGACGTTGCCAAGAAGAAAAGAAATAGGCGAAGGGAGCAGAAACAGCAAAAAGCACCACTTAAAAGCTGGTAAGAGCTTTCATGGTAACAAATGCTTCCACGGAGTCGTCGAGCCTTTGCTTCGATATTTCGACGTGCAAAGGTTTGTCAAAGGCAAATGACTGCCATGCCGCTTTCGCGGCCTGTATAGCTGTTGGCTAGCGTTAGCCTCTGTGGCCTGTTAGCAGGCCGCTGGGGTTTCGGCACAGGGACAGAAAAGCATTCATGTGACGCTCTCAAAAATGGGGCAGCGGTGCTTTGTGTTAGCTATCCGGCGTCGGTGTCACTTTACTTTTCACATTGCGACCTATTACGGACCCTTATAACATTTAAGTTAGAATAAGAAATTTACCTTCTGTTTGCTAATCCCGATGTACACATTTGTCATCGTAATCATTGTAAGCACAGAAAAGCGTGGAGTATGCAGCTCACTAGTTTGCTAATGCTATAAAATTTTGCTAGCCGGGCCCGTGCACGTTTCCGATTTAGATTTTGAGCTCACGAGTCGATGTGTTGTTCACCCGTGTGTTTAAAACAAAAGTACAGTATTAAAGCGGAGTCACTGTAGAAAATAATCTAAGATTTCTCAATAGTGCTTTTTATTTTATTTTAGCCGCGTTAAATAGTGAGCACAGTAGCTCGCAGTTCCCTTGTTCTTGGAAGCTGTTCATTCAAATATTGCACATTCAAATTCTGATCTAACGCTGCTGCTACATCAGCTCCGCTCCATATCCGACTGGATGATATGGAGAAAAAAAATACTAGTGCGCTAGCCCAGTTTTTCATCAGGATTACTTGTGTTCATTGAAAAGATGTAAGAGCGTCTTTAATTGAAACTTTCCATGCTTTAACTGTTAATATTCAGCAACTGCTCTAAAACGATTTATCTTGCACGGCAGTTCTGCTTGTCTGGACTCTTTGTTTAAGTTGTTATGTGGTGAATAGTTTTTTTTTGTATTCCCTTACCCCTGTCTTTGCAGAGTCAACAAACCATTTCTGTTCTCACAATAGTTTGGTTTTATTTGGAGGTTATGTTAGGAAAATAAAATTTGATCCAAAAGTTATCTATCCGTTTCCTATAAAAGATGTGTTTCACAGGAGATAAGAGTGGGATTGGCTGGTGACCTCCATGTATGCCCATTTTGTGAGACCCAATGTTTAACTTTACTGCTAAACTATATCTATCATATAGATAGATAGATATGAGAGAGAGATGCATTTAATGTAAAATTAATTGCACTTTTTATGAGCTCTTTACACAATGTGCATACCAGTCCAGTTTGTGACTTCATTCATAGGCGCCCCATGTGAGAAACAAAGTAAACAGGAGAGCATTTAAGCTGGGAGAGCTGCCTACTTTAAAGCATTATAGACAATCTGGTAGCATGATTTTTCAAGGAATTTGTAGAGCTTTAATGTCCAATACAAGGT